ACAATGACATGTCTTCGGTTGTCTGAGGAAATAATCTATGTACCTACTGTGTGAAGAGTGAACTTACTCTTACAGTTTGTCCCTGAAGCTGTCAGGAGAGGATGAGCAAACCATGCTGTTCTGGGCACAGTTTTTGATGTCGTCAGTCTAGCATCTATCATAATCACTAGGCTTAGGGTAGAATCATAGTACAATGAAATTGATTTTGCACAATTGTTTCTTTTTAGAGACCTACTAAATCAGACCCCTCTTGGATACTTGTGCTCTACAAATAGCACTAATGGGACTAGAGCACATAAATCGAATCACACTTTATCAGAACCAATGTATTACCTGTCAACCCAGAACGATGCTACATTGAAAACCAGAGGCATATCCCTTCACTGGGAGGAATGGAAATTTATAGGCGCTGTTGATCTTTGGCTCTGGCATGCTTAGGAATCTCAGAGTCAAGGAAATGGCTTTAGCTTGGGAAGCCACTATTCTTCCAACTCTCTAGTAATTTCTCCCATTGCTTCCATCATTGAGGGGAGCCCCATTATGGTACCAGTAATTTTTTTTCCCAGTATTAAACTCACTTTCTTCTATTTCCAACCCACAGTAGTGTATATGGTGTTACTTGGATTAATTCTACTCCATCGCTGCTTACAGGGATTTCTTAAAGGTATACTTGGCTGTTTTATTACAGACCAATATTTTGGACTGGTCCTAAAAAACCTGATTACTTAATATCGCAGACTTACTAGACTTTCAGATAGTTGCTCAGATGTAGTTTAACATGTAGCCGTATATGTGATTAGCAGCATGGGAATAAGAGTAGTTTTTTGACACATTGTTAGTGGTAATTTTGGTTTCATTCATCTGAAAAGTATCCAGCTTGCACACTCTGAGACTGCACTGCAATGAGAAACAAAGTGCAGGTAATGGGGATAAGCTGGAAATTTTTTCAGAAGAGCACTCCTTACCCAAAGTAAAATATTAATGTATTCTACTTGCCACTAAAATATTTAAGCTGTTTTTGTTTGCCAGTATCCAAATACAGGCTGTTAGGGTTTCTGTGCTATAAGAATATGGAATCTTAAAACAGTGCCTGGCTTCAAACTGTTTGCAGCACTTTGTAATCACTTCACAGCCCTAACTTCTTCTTACCAGTGGCTCAAGGATGCAAACGATCATGAGAAGAGACTCATCCTTAACAGAATAAAAACCTCTTATTTTCTAGTTTTATAGGAACAGTATGACAGCATGGTAAGAAATGCTTCATATTAAGCATCTTATAAGATACTGACAAACAAGGTCATTTTTCCTAAAACATGGTAAGAATTATTGGCAAGATGGATATGTGACCATTAGGAAGCTACAGTGTCTGTAAGTGGTGCAGAGAACAGAACAGAGTTGCTGACCTGCTCTCTGTTTTTTAAAAGGAGGTACTTCTTGCTTAACCAGACTACTACTCTATTTATTTAGGGTGCAATTTTAGTAGCATACCATCCTCTAGGTAAAGGGCTCTAGTACAGATGCAGTTAAACTGATATAACATCCTTTTCTTGTACAGTTTGTTTTTTGGGGAAAACACTATAAATCCTATTGCAAAGATGCTTTCAAAACTAGATAAGGATTATATCATTAGGATTTTGGAGGTATAGCTGTACCACCAAAAATCTCTAATCTAAATCTGCCCTGTATCTGAGGAAATAGACTATGTGAAACAATAAAAAACTACTTACTGTGTAGCCAAACTAAAACTAAGCCTAAAGAAAACCATATATACATAATTCTGTTATTTCAATGCAGTTTCTTAATGTGAAGGTTTATGCAAACTAATCAGCTTGCTGTCAGGTTGGTATTACAGTTAAGTCTGTGTCAGTACTTCCATCATAACAAAATTTTGTGGTGTTTCTTGCTGAGATGGAAATGCCTGCCTTGCATTCAGAATTTTTACATGAGCCCTGTCAGCCTTCTGGAAATGAAAAATGAAGCTGGGCAGAGGATTTAATAGAAATCACACAGTGTATTTTTTCAAATGTCTTTTTTTTTTTAGTCATCTGCTGTATTCTGTCCACGTCAAAGGTGATGAGCCTTATAGAGGGCAGCTCCAGGCCTGCATTTTGTCTTATGAACCAGCTACATTAGGCACCAATGAAGTGCTAAAGGTATGAAAGCTTCTTTCTTGCAGCTTGGGTAAGCAAAAAGATAAATCGGAAGGGTTTTGAAGCAAGAAGGTATTATTATGGCATTATAAAGCCAGATATGCAGCAATACAGCCATGACAATTTATGTCCTCTAAATATCTGGCCCATACCTTCTAACTTTATTACAGTTTCAGAGGGATTACACTTCTGGAAATCTTGTGGTGGATCACTAGTTGCAACACAAATAGGGTAAAAATGCACAGGATAGTAAGTAGGGACTCAGAAAAAGGGTCGGGGCAAAACTATTTTTAATGGTTCTGAATTAGTTTTCTACTATATATCATTTCAAACTAGAAAGCGCTGTTGAGGTTTATCTGGCAAAGTCCAATTCCTGGCACTTTGGCCTCAGCTTAAGCAAGGTGGTGGGCAAGGCACAGTGGTCACAGAAAAGTAAGGGATGTGTGAGAGGAATCCTCAGCGCTTCAGAGACATGTATGTCCTTATCCTGCATGGAATACAGAGTTTATTAGTGAAATCTTTAATCAAGGCAACTTGCTGATTAACCATTTAAAAAAACCTAACAACATCAACTTGGTAGCATTGCCAGGACTTTTTGCCCTAAATGAGGCTCTGACAGTTTTTAGCTTGACCTCCTGTTTCCAGTGATTTATAAAAATGGGCTGAAACTTAGCAGATCAAAGTAGTGTCTAAGCTGCTTATCTTTAATTTATAAACTCCTGCCTTCTTTGGGCTTACAGCAGTGCTTTTAATGTTGGGTTGGGGTCTTTTTTGAGGGAGATTTCTCTGCCACTTGTGATCTTTAAAATGTAGTAAAATTATAATATTTAACTCATGAGCAGCATTTCTTGCTGCTGTCACATTGGATGAAAATATTTCCAACAGTGCCTCTGTTAAAATGACACAAGCATCTTGAAGCGCCAGAATGGTAAAACACCTTTCAGGGAACAGATCCAACACAGACACCCTCTGAGCTGGATCAGATCCATTTTCATTTAAATTTGACATAAATAGCTGAATGCTCAAAAGGAACACACTCTAGAGAGATTACCACAAAACTAAAATTGGAATAAGACTGGGTGGATTTTAAAACAAAACTTCTCTGGTGGGAAAACAAGCCTGTGCTAAACTGAATATAGGCTCAAGGCAGCCTGAACCTCTGAGATGCCCCAGAGTGACTCCAACCTTCCTATAGCTCCAGTGCTGGTTTCCCTTCATCCCGTGACAGTCATAGAGTGTGACAGGGCTACTGTGCGAAATGGCGTCGAAGCAGAACTTCCTGGTGTGAAGTGGCTCCCCGGGGCGGATGTCTTCTCTCCAACCAAAGGTGAAGAGCTAGAAAAACAATCAGGCAATATAATGATATATTACTAGTGAAAAACATTTAAAACCACACACAAAGCTTGATGCATGTTTCCCTAGTCTGCATATCCCAGCTGCTGGTTAAACGAGATCCTGTCTGTGTATGATTCAGTGATGCCAACTGCCTTAATTAAAGTGCATCAGCGGTGATGTGGAATATACCCCAGGAAGGCACAATCCCTATGGCAGGGAAGAAAACAATCTGGTGACACAGCACTGTGGAGAGAAGAGGGGATATGCTGTATCAAAGCTTTTAGCTACCCCAGTTAAAGCAGCACTTGTATGCACTAGGACTACAGCTACCTAGCACTCAGAAAGCCTCTGCTAGTGATGTTCCTCTAGCTCTCATTTGGGTCTGATGAAGCTACCTAGAGAGATCTTCCCATTATAGCATCTTTCCCATGTTTAATGAACAGTTTCCTTCTGTTTATATGGGACACTGTTAGCATATCCTCTCTCGACTGTCTTTTTTCCCCGCAAACAACACACGTTAAATGATCTTCATCTTTCTCCTGTGAAACCTGTAAGCTACAGGCAGCTTGTTAAAGCCCTTTTTCTTGCTGCCTGAGAGGAATCGTGGAGGCCTACAGTTAATAGAGGAATCTTTCTCAATCAGACACCAGCTGTCTGAAATGATGCTGTGACACTGCAGCCTTTCAATCATCAGATGAAGGTGACAGGTCTGACAGCACCAAATTTAAAGATGCAGAGTGCGTTTTCCTTTCCCTTGCAGAAAACAGCTTGCAGGTTGTAAATTGCTGCCTAGAAGCTCTGCTGAGAGCTGTGAGGGTTTTTTTTTTTCCCTTTTTATTTTGGTGTCAGGGCTATTCTTCGGCTTTCGCCATGACTTTTGATCTTCCATAGTATAAACGGAAACATAACACTGAGAAAGTGAAGCTCCCTTTAAACAAGCGAAGTCTGCTAGCGGAAACTGCTTAGCTGTGATGGTTCACGTGGAACTGCACTCGGGATCGTCACCCGGAGAAGCAGCTCCCCATACTGTGCTCAGACTGCCTCCAGCACTGCAGCTACCTCATCTCAGGGTCGTTTCGGTCCTAGCACCCTGCTTCCTGCAGTGTGTACATTCCCTGACAGAACCAGTATCTACAAATCCAGACTGAAGCTTGGTGTCATATTGGTCTGATCCTGAATACTTCTGTTGCATTTCCCAGATTTTAACCCTTTCATTATGATAGCTATCTTCTTTCCATGATCTTCATGAAAGATACAGCTTTTAAAAATACTAATCTTCAATGCTGTACCATCCTCCAAATGCCACATTTGAGAGGCGCTACTGTTTCCCTCAGCCTGTGGGCACAAAATACAAGCATATATCTGAATATTTGCCTTTTTTCGTGTGTGTCTCACTGTAAGCCCTTGTTCTCTCGGTTAGCTGCTGTCACTCCCGATTTAATTCTGTATTATAGGTTTTCTAGACAGCGTTTTCTCAGTCTGCCCCCGTGTCCTGCTTATTTCTTCTTTCCCCCAGAGTGCATTTTTCATTTATCTGCAGTAAAATGCAGTGGACAGCTTTAACTTTATTTTCAAACCAATTCCTGCTTTTTAAAAGGTTAAGCCTTTTTCCATTCTTCTTCATGTTTCTTGGAAGCAGCATCATGGATTCCCTACAAAGATAACATATTTCACAAGCAAACTCAGAAGTAAGATTTGGTACAGAAAAAAGCTACACTGCTGCTTCTTTAGAGAAAGAGAAGCCTGATATGATTTTCCTATAAGGAAAAAACAACAAAAGCCATTTCCTTTCTCTTACCCTTTACCTTTCTACAGCTAAGTAATAAACCTAGAGCTCAAAGCGATGAATAACAAATACCCACAGCAATGGCATGGAACAGTGGTTCTGCGATATTCTCACTCTCATCACTACTACAAGAGAAAGATCCTCTTGCAGGACCTTCCTCATCTTTCCCAGTAGGTGGCTCTCCAAATTTCTCATTCTGTGCATGA